TGGTTCTTTATTCATTAGAAAAAAAACACTTTGCCAGTTATAAAAATTTGCACTAGTACTAAACACAAGTCATTTCTCAATGTTGTACTTAAAGTTTTTTATTTTTAAAATAGAACTTAATAATGTCTAGTGGGAGGAATAATATCCAGTGATACTGGACATTTACTTGAATAATGACTAATGGATAATAATCAATGGTACATTGGGAAATAAAAACATATGGTCATACATTGAGAAAATCATTATGTTTTAGTCCTATTTAAATAAATTTCTCTCTTTCTAATCATATGGGCTTCCTTAATTGCTAACACAAATTACGAAATACCCCTCCCTTCCCAGAAGAGTGCAAGGATTCACTATTTAAAAATTACAAAGATTTTTGTTTGTTTTCATGTTTTTAGAGGGGCATATATACAAATATCCGATAGAACATATAAGGGGAAGGAGTGCTATATTTAATTTTGTACAAAATCCATAAAATACTCCGAAACCTTGGGGTGAACTATTATTTTAGTTTATTATTCATTGTAAATGAAAAATTAAAATTGGAAGAGATTGTCATTGAAATCTCAAAATATCTCACATGGACTATTACAAATATCTTTTATAAGAATAAATTTTTAAAAGTATCCTATAAATTCGATAAACTTGATTATGCTCCCTTGTTGATAATTAAATCAATATTTTGTGTCATCCTCTTCCAATGCTCGAGTCTTTTAGCACGGTACGCTGAAAAATTAAACAAAATTTAAATTATTACTCCGTATTAGTAATAATAAGATTATAATTTTTAATTAATCGATTATCATAATCCATACTCCTACAATTTAGTTAAATAATCAAATAGACCAAATATTCAAAGAGTAGAGTAGTATATAGTACATGCATACCTTTGGTACCAAATTTTAACTCTTCCATAATTGCGCATGGCATCTGCTTTCCCATGTAACCAAAAGCCAATCCGCCCAAGTCAAACCAAACCGGTTCATTGTTGCACGCACCCGGACATTCATCGGTTATATATATTTTTATGGGTTCTCGTGAACATGTTGGATTATCGGTACATTTTACCTGCAACCATAACATGTAAATGACATACATATATTTCACATTTTACATTTTCATATAAATTTCACATGATAACAAATGCTTGATTATAGCAAGAAAAAGTATAATACACGTACTTGGTAACAACTTCCACACCCTTTTCCACTTTGATAAAGAGCTTAATTGATTTCCGGCAGCTATCATGGAATTGTAGGGTGAATTTCCAACATTCCCAAGTCCGCAAGCTCCCGTATCTACAAACAAAATGCGCGTACATATAAAAGACAAGATGGATTATTATAAATGATTAGAACAATATAATAATTAATACTCCCTCCATTCCTTAAAACCCTTCCGCCCTAAATTTTTGCGCACCTCAATAAACGCTTTTACTTCCACCTAAAATATCTAAAATATATCCCAATATGTAGTTTATTGCGGGTAAAAGTTGTTTTAGGGGTATTTTAGACATTTTAGATGGGATAGAAATATTTTATGGGGTGCGCAAAAAATTAAAACGGAAGTGTTTTGTGGAACGGAGGGAGTATAATGTTGAAGAAGTTTGTCTTAACCAAAGATCACCCCTTAAAATAAACCATATATAATGCGGAATAGCATGTATAGAATACTTACCAGTTCCATGGCCATTTGCTGGACCGTACCATGTTGCGATGGCTGGTTGAAAACCATTACTAGTAATGTTAGATGGATTTTGACATGAACAAAGAATGAAGAGAAGAGATAAAATAACAAGAAATGTAGGTGCACTGTATCCATGCCATTATGTGGTGTGTGCACTATCTTAGCTCCTTTAAAATATTTTAATTACTTTGATAGATAATTGAATTTACGTTGGGTTATGAATTTACGTTGGGTTAGTTTAAACTCATTTTGTATGTCAAAAATTATGGCCAAAGACCTATATGAGATATGGTAATTAGGTTTATATTCAACTAAATGCCAATTTTGATTAATGACTTTAAACAAATTACCATGCATATATTAATTGGTTGGTAGACTCTCTCATTCTTCTATTACAAAATGTAGCCTAAATTGGTTGATGATTTATGTTACTCCTTAGAAAAACTATTTTCAAATTTATTTGTGCACGGAAAATTTTTTACACAATACACACGCACAGTTTTGTTCTTTGTTATTAGAGACAATGGTCATTTGCGCTACATACCGGCATAAACAATATAAAGACATCCATCTATGAGAGAAAAAATTATTTAAAAGTGAAATCACTTGTTTAGTCCTATCATTTGTTTAGTCAAAATAATAATAATAGTAGTAGTTGATGGGAATTAAGAAGAGAATACAACCACACCAAATACTAATTCCCCACTTGCAAGAGTAAGAGGATCAAAAACAGCAACAAGCTAATAGCAAATAAGCACAAATAATAAAGACACGATGCACCAGAATTTTTACGTGGAAAACCCCTCAAATCGAGAGTAAAAACCACGGGTCACAAAGACCACCAAGCAAGCTCCACTATGACCAGAAATAGGGTACAAGAGTGTCTCAAACAAGGGCTGAAATCAGTATAAAGATACTGCAAATATACTGCCACAACAAGGAGCAAACAACTAGAGAATATGCAGAAAAACCAGAAAATACTGCCTCTGTTCAGATTCGAATATCTCAGCCTGCAGACCTCCAAATCCAAAACTGACCGGTGGAAATCAAGTTCAATGTGTCCCGAACCTGCTCCTAAAATTTCAGAACAATCGGACACCGTTTGACCCTCCAAACATCAGTCTGAAAAACGCTGCGCACA